TGACGATACAAATATGATCTACATACCACCTGAACCATTAAAAGGAAACAAATATTAGGCTTATTAAGGGTCAAAATAGATAGCAATAAAATAAGTAGGTTACAGTAAACCTATAAGTGGGTAACAATATATTAATAAGTAGGTAACAATCTAACGTAAGTAGGTTGCAATATATATATATTGCAACCTACTTTTGCAGATTATTTGGCTCTGGTTTATCAGTTTTAAAACTGATAAGCCAGGGCCAAATAATCTGCAAATTTGACCAGAATTAGATCATTTTTGAAAGTAACACAAAAAAATCTGCCCATATATTCACCACCCAAAATTTTTTCAAAGTAAAAATTTACGATATTAGAAATTTGCTAGTAAGTTAAGACTTGAAAATGTTATTTATATCAAAATTTTGTAAGGAAATTTTTTATTAATGTGCAGATAGGGTTGTATTACAGAAATTACAATTTTACATTTCATGTAATTTTACGTAAATTTCAGTAAATTGAATTTCATGTAAATTTCACATGTGATATTCTATACTAGCACTATATAAACTTCAGCCAAAATTATTAAATGTGCAAATATGTTTATCGTCAAATTTATTATATTTATAATGCAATTTTATACAATAAATGAATTTTATTCTTCAAGACAATTATCGAATTCATGCTCATTATTATCAAACATATTAAGAAGCCTGTTTGAAAAGTCGATAAAATTGTCTTCAAGCTTTTCATTTTCATTATTATTATGATTTTCGCTTTGTTCTTCTACTATATTACCGTTTTGCAAATCTTTTACTAAAATAGACCTTTTTAATTGACGAAGAATTCTTGTATTCCAATATATATAAACAAGTTTTTCTGCCTTTTGAGTAAGCATTCGGTTACGCAATTTTGAATGGATAAACCCGTAAGAGGACCAATTTCTTTCACTTGCAGCTGAAGTAGCTGGAATTGATAGAACTTTTCGTGCAACCTGACTTAAAATTGGGTATTGCATACCTAGAATTTGGAACCAAATTTGGTTTTGAATCCGAATTTAAATTCGAATTGTTAATTAAAAAAATTATAATATTTAAATCCGAAGATCGAATCCGGTTTCAAATTCTATGCATACGTACCTAATAGATTCCACCAGTTAAGTGGCTTTGAGGTAAGATTATTCCACAAATAATTTTTAGCAAAACCTCCTGATTTCCCAATATATTCAGACAACTCGTTCAGTACTTGATCTTCATTATCGGCACCTGCATTTAGTAATCCAATTATTAGTATATAAAAAAAAAATTATATATGTACAGTACGTACGTACGTATGTATATACATACATACATATATTAACTATCAATTAACCAACTAAGGTTTAATTGATTATCTATATAAATACGCTATTAATCAAATTTAAAAACTTTTGACCAACTTAGGATTCTTGCCTGCGATCCTAAGTATTTCGGCATTAACTATATTTCCCCATGTAGCAGAATCAAGACCTTCGCCCCGATATCTTGGATCAAGAATATATGCAACAATAACAGCTGGATTATATAAAAAATTAACCCATCTATTCCTAGCTGCTTGCATAGTATCATCACGTAGTTCTTCGGGAATTTGAAAATTATTAATAACCGTATTTTTTAAGTTTTGCAAAGTTTTATATGCTGATGAAAGATATGGCTCGTCACTTTCCAATTGGAATATAAAAATGATAAACGGTTCTAAAAAATCATGTAGTTTTTTAAGATCTGTCCAAAATCCATAATCCAAAATCGTTTCTTTAACATTATCATTTATTTCAATACTATCCTCTGCTAATACAGCATATATTGCAGACCGTGCTCGCAGAACATGATCAAGACATTCATAAGAAGACGTCCACCTGGTATCAACAGTTAGAGTAAGTGCAATTTCAAGATTATATATTTCTTTTTGTAAACGATGAAGAGTAGCTAACGGAACTAAATGATTACGAAAAAATAAAACTAGATCTTTAGTTTTTTTTAAGATTTGTGCAGCCCAATCGTTTTTAAGAATATCTTTAATCCAAAGATTAATTCCATGTGCCCAGCATCCAAGAAAAACTTTATCAGGATATTTGTCTCTTAAAATATTCCACGCGGCTTTCATATTATTCGCGTTATCTGTAATTATACTAACAAATTTATTAATTCCAATTTCTTCCATTACGTCTTCAATTCCTTTAGCGATATTTTCGGCTGTATGACGTTCTTCCTTAGTATGAACCGACTTGTAAAAGATAGGAGCAGGTGTAGTAATCATATAATTAATTATAGACGATTTATTAATATTTGACCAACCATCACTAACTAAGCAATGGTAAGGTGATTCATCAAGAACGTTTTGAACAACTACTTGTAGATCAGCATATTCCTTATTAAGATGCGAACCAGAAAGAGTATTGCGTGATGGAATTTTAAAAGAAGGACAAGCTTTTTTAAGAAAAATACGAAAATCCTCATTTTCAATTACGTTGAATGGAATTCCGGAAGTAAAAAAAGCACGGGCAAGCAATGATTCTAATTCTGTTTGATCTTGTTGAGCAAAGTTGTCTGAAGCTGGTTGTTTTCGTTTCTTATTAGTACTTGATGATTCAGATGGCTCGTTTGATGTTAAATTTTTTAAAGTGCAGGTTTTTAAATGCTCTTGCAATCGAGTTACATTTTTTGCCCATTCTTTATTACATGTTTTACACTGGTAACGTTCTTTTCCTTTTTCATCAATTCGCTTAATATATTGGTCCCACATTTCATTCGGAACCATTTTTAATTTGTTATAAACGATATATTTCAAACTTGTTTATAAATGACTTTTAATGAATTGAGCGAACGATTATTACAATAAATTGAGAGAACAACTATTACAATTAATTGAGCGAACGATTATTACAATAAATTGAGAGAACAACTATTACAATTAATTGAGCGAACAACTATTACAGAATGATTACCACATAGCTCTGTATTCAAAACCTGGTGCGACACATATTTTAGAATACTATTTATGTTACAAACGTTATTTAATGCATGTGATTCTTAATTTTTATGATATAAAAATCATCATAAAATATTGAATACAGCTCCCGGAGTTATATTAAAAAATTACGTGTGTTCAAAATTACAAATTACATGAAAATCAGCTTACTGAAAATTTACGCAAAATTACATAAAATTACGTAAATTACGGTAATTTGACAACCCTAGCCTCTGGTAGTGTTAACCCCTGTAGTTAATCTCATGTGACAAAATAACCGCAATGTAACACCAATGCAAGGACAATGTAATAGTGCTAGTAGTGCTAGTAGCGCTAAATAGCGCTAATAGCGCTAAGTAGTGCTAGCAGCGCTAAAAGGTCTCTCTAAGTTTAGTGGTTCTAGTAAATTTGTAATTTGTAAAAATAGTAACAGAGATCGATAGTTCAAAAGGTATAAATAGACTTAGAAATTGCTCTTGTAA